TGGCCACCTGATGTGAAGAGCTGACTCATTGGAAAAGACCCTGTTGCTGAGAAAGATTGAGGGCAGGAGGAGAAGGGGACGACAGAGGATGAGATGGTTGGATGGCATCATCAACTCAATGGACATGGGTTTGGGTGGACTCCGGGAGTTGGTGATGGACAGGAGGCCTGTCGTGATGCTGTTCGTGGGGTCACAAAGAGTCGGACATGACTGAGTGACTGAACTGAACTGAAAGTAATACTTATTTCAATTTTACATATATTTCTTAAATGCTTATTTAGGACTTTATGTATGTAAACAGTTGTGCTAATAAGCACAAAAAAAGATTAAAGAATAGTGAGCCTTGTGAACTGTAATCTGAAAAAAACATATAGGCTAAAAATAAGTATTACACTATTACACAAAATCATTTGTGGAAACAAAACTGTAACATTTAAACTTTGAAGGAAGGACCATTTCAATTGGAGATGAAGACAGATACCTAGAGGGAGCATTCTCAGTGGAGAGACCTGTATGAAAATAAAACATGTACCAGAGAGAAAGTTTTGTCCTGAGGCTTTCAGTAATTAATTTTGGTATAACATATGGTCCATTAGGAAAATTATGGAAGCAGAGATTTCAGAGTTAAATTTGGAGTAAAAGTGCTCAAATAATGTCAGCAAATGCAGAGTAGTATGTGTGTGTGTGTTTATTTATCATGTTATCTATACATATATCTTAACAAATTGAACATATGTATATTCATATATGAAGTTCTGCATATGTATACCATATATACATGCATAGTCTGGTGCAATGGAAATCCATCAAAAGTTATTGAAGAGGAATATTATTTAATCAGAATTCTGTTTATAAACAATAATCTGACAGTAATGTTTGGGAAGTTAGAGAATATCAACATGACGTAAAAGAAGTAACTAAACTATTACAAATGACAAATGTGAGTCATTTTAGGTCCTCAGTGGTGTTAATAGGAATGTGTATGGATTCAGTGGTGAGATTGGAAGGTAAGAGATGGACCTGAAGATAAATCACATATTATCATAGAGTATAAAGTGAGACAAAGGATGACATTTAAGCACTTCAGGGCACAAATCATGCAAGCTCCTGGTTCATTTTATCTTTCCCAGCTACTCACTGAACTCTTTGATATTATATCATCTTACAATTATTTGAACTTTGGTAATATGCATTTGAAGCCTCTGTTACTCAACAATATATTCCAATAACTTTTCCATATTACTTCTTTTTTTTATCAGTTTCATCATTTCTAAATTGTAGGAAGGTTGAGCCCATTTCCTTCCTATTCTGCCACTCCACTTTTCTTCTCTATGCCCATCCCAATTAAATCTGAAACCTCATCTCTTTGCTTTCTGAATTAGTGAAGTTTTCAGATTACTGTGTAACACACAAGTAAACTAGACAGTGCCTTTAAAGGCAGCATGGACAATGAGAGGCAGCTCTCCTCTTATTATTTATAGACATCCACTGGGCCAAAAGCATCCTCTTCTAATTTGTTCTGACTTTCATTTATTTAACTCCTTTCTCATTTTTTTTCTTTTTATCTTCTCATCTCTGCTGATTTCTCTGTGTAATATGAGAATTGAGTCTGCAAAAGAAATAAATTTCACCATGTCCCAGAGAGAATGTATGAAAGTCCTTTTAATAGTTAGCAAAATTCCTGTGATTGGCTAATTTACTCAGACTCAAAGTCGCCTACACTATGGAGGTAACCATGATATGAGCTTCCAGGCTACACAGCTGTATTACTATCAAAAAATTTGCATTCAATTTTTTCAGCGCAATTGTGCTATTATAGTGCATAATACATTTATGGATCCACATTGAGAACACATGTGTATAATATGTTGTTTTCCTGTTTCAGTTCAGTTCAGTTGCTCAGTTGTGTCCGATTCTTTGCGACCCCATGAACCGCAGCATGCCAGGCCTCCCTGTCCATCACCAACTCCCGGAGTCCACCCAAACCCATCCCCTCTAGGGAGCCCCTGTTTGAGTTTCCTGAGTCATATAGCAAGTTCCTGTTTACTATATGTCTGTCTATTTCACATATGATAATGGAGGTTTCCATGTTACTGTCTCCATACATTTCACCCGCTGCTTTCTGCACCACCTCCATCCATCTCCACCACCTCCATCCATAAGTCTGTTCTCTATGTCTGTGTCTCCACTGCTGCCCTGCAAATAATTCCATTAGTACCATCTTTCTAGATTCCATATATATGTGTTAGTACACAATATTTATCTTTATTTCTGACTTACTTCACTCTGTATAATAGGCTCTAGGTTCATCCACCTCATTAGAATGGACTCAGATGAGTTCCTTTTTATGGCTGAGTATTACAGCTTCTTTATCCATTCAACTATTGATGGACATCTAGGTTGCCTCCATGTTCTAGCTGTTGTAAATAGCACTGCAGTGAACACTGGGGTACATGTGCTTTTTTCAGTTTTGATTTCCTCAGGGTATGTGCCCAGGAGTGGGATTGCGGTGACCCTGTTCCTGTAAATGTGTATTTTCCCCTTCTCCCTGCACACTCAGCAGAGGGGATGTTAAAATAAGTGGGTCACATGCACAGAGTTTCAGTGTTCTGCCTCTTTAGGGACCTGTGGCTCTGCTAAGAGATCTGGGAGGCCTCGGAGGTGGCACTTCAGTAAATGCCATCAGTGACCACCACCGTCCTACCCAGGCTCTACCTTGGGACCTGGTGATCTCTAAACCCATGATCAAACTTTTTCCCCTGTTGTGGCCACCCCAAATCTAATCTATTTTGCTTAACTGTCCTGCGGAAAGATTGTATCAATTTTAGAGGTATAACTGCTCTGTTATACTCCCAACAAGTTGGCTGTCATATCCTTTTAAATGTTTTCCAAACTGATAGCTCTTCTTTCCCCTCATATAATAGAAGTAAAATAAATAAAACCAAAAAAACTTTAATTTCACTTATTTAAATTGAAATAAGTGAAATATATTTCTTAAGCTTATTAGATTTGCAATTTTTCTGTTAAATGTCCATTGCCCCTTCCTTCCACTCGGATGTTTGCATGTCTTTTATGAATTGTAGTAGTTTCTTATATATGTGTTAACCAGTTTATTTCTCTCATAAATGTCTTCAATTTTTTTGTATTTTATGTGGCTATTAACTCTGCTGTTTTATTATTATGTAAAAGTTTTTAAATTTATATAGTCATTGTAAGAGGAACAGTGTAGGTAAACAAAGACTTTGCCCACTAGTTAAGGAGAGAAATTTAATTTAGTAAACAGTTCGAAAGTACTGTTAAATCAAAAAGTCAAACAGAATAGTAAGGCAACTCAGATATTATTATTAGTGAGGAGTTTCTACAAGGGTGAGTGGTTAGTTAACATAATCTATGATTTCACACGCATGAGCAACTTTCCTACAGTAGGTGAACTCTGTGATTAGATGCAACTTGTGCTTGGAGACACTCCCTTTAGCAGTGGGGGAGGGGAGAAACATCATGGGTTTTCCCCCAGTCTTTAGTTACACTGCTCCTCATTGTCCAAATGTAGACAGAGACATTTGAAAGGGAAGGAGTCTGAATTTGACAGTGCTCTTTAATTATAAAACAAAACACAGGAAAGGAAGTAGGAAAATGGATTGAGGGCAAAAGGAAAATGATCAAAGAATCACATGCATCAGTTAACCTGCTTATTATTTCTAGATTTGGTCTTTTGGTAATAAACCCTTTTCTTGACTTGTCAAAGTATGAGATTTTTACTGTGGAAAAGCATGAAAAACCTTATCTAACTATTTAGAGGGTAATATATATGAAAGTTCTAGCTTAGTGCCTAGCAGTTGGTAGATTCTCAGTAAATTATTTTTATTTCTTTCATAATTGTACATGTAAAGATCAATACATGTTTTTGTTTATAAATGTAGAATTGTTAATATTTTCTGTCTCAATTATGCTTGATCAACATCTCCAGGTTTTTCTTAATGCTATGCATGTATTAATACTCTTAATTGGAATCAACCCAGGATAGAGTTATTTCTAATAATAAGCAAGTCAAACAATAATATGAGAGGAAGAAATCTTTAATTAATTAGTACATATAGTAATTAGAGTGTCATATATGATGGACAGCCAATCAAAACCAAACAGCATGAAAATATCAAATACATAAGGGTATCAATATAAGTAGCAATGTATTCAACTACAGACTGATAAATCAACAATAACTTAAAATACTCTATTTCAGAAAACTTGATAGAAAATTGACTAACAATAAAAAGGAAAGTGTTGATTAGCAAATATATTTTATATGAATTCATATTCAAATATAATATCTTAAACTCAAAATTTATATTCAAATGGAAATATATAGCTTACTTTTGTCACACAGTATTGCCTAAGAAGGAATTAATTTTTGAGAACTTGAGGTATGAAGAGTTTGTTAGGTTATGGCTTCCAATTGCAGAAATTTGCCAGCAGTATTAAATGAAGGCAAGTGTTGTATATAACTTCTAGTTCTAGAATTTGTTGAAAATTATAACTATTATACTCTGAAACTAATAGTAACTGTTGGAACTAATCATACTGGAACATGACCTCAAGAGTAATTATTTAGTTTATCCCTGTTGAACACTAGTAGCTTATATTTTGGAGTACATTTTAGTTGAAAGTCTCTTTTCTGAACTTGTTTATTCGGCTCAGAAACTAATCATGTGTTAATAATTTAATATTTTATATTGAAAGTTGTCATTTCCCATTTTCTCAATATTCTTTGATTTTGAAAAAAGTTTTCTCAAATTGCAGTCAGCTGTCCACATGGCATGGTAATTGTTTCAGAATGTTATGATCCGTTCATAATTTTTTTCATAACGTTTATTACTTCCTTATTTCTTAAACTATAAATAAAAGGGTTTAATAAAGGAGTCACTAGAGTATAAAAAATAGCCACAGGTAAATCTTTATCTTCTTCATTAATTGAATTCGGTCTAATGTACATGAAGAGAAGAGAACCATAGAAAATTGAGACAGAGAGAAAGTGGGATGCACAAGTAGATAAAGCTTTCTTTCTTCCTTCTTTAGATTTCATCTTGAAAATTGTGAAAATGATGTAAAGGTAAGAAATTATTACTATGGTAATAGTGAATATTTGAACTGATCCTCCAAAGATAAATATCATTAATTCATTGATATAAGGGTCTACACAGGAGAGTCTGTATAATGGAAGAACGTCACAAAAAAAGTGATTGATTTGATGAGACTCACGGAAAGTTAACCTAAACAGAAACCCAATGTGAATCATGGAATGCAGATTTCCAGCTACATATGCCCCTGTGGTCATCTGAATGCAGAGTTTCTGTGGCATCATGATGTGGTACTGCAGTGGTTTGCAGATGGCCACAAAGCGATCATAAGCCATCGCTGCCAGGAGAAAGGAGTCTGCACTTTCAGCAAGACAGAGAAAATAAAATTGTGCCATGCATTCATAGAGAGAAATCATCTTGTCCTTAGAAAAGAAGTTCTCCAACATCTTGGGGGTAATGGCACAGGAACAACAGGAATCCATCAGAGCGAGATTCCCCAGGAAGATGTACATTGGTGTGTGAAGACGATGCTCTGTAACTATCAATGCCACCAGGCCAAGATTCCCTACCATGGTGATCAGATAGATGGTGAGGAACACCAGGAACAGAAGAGTCCTCAGCTCCGGGTGATCTGTAAATCCTATGAGGATAAATTCAGTTGCCAAGGAGCAGTTATCCTCAGCCATCTCTACCGTGTTTGTTGAGATAAGAATTATGGAGATATGAGATTCTAATTTAGAGCATGTATAGTTTTATCTTCAGATTTTTCTTTTTAAAACAAGGAGAGGAGCTTCCTTTTCAGATTCTCCCACTGTCTCTGTGATACAGGCACACAGACTTCTAAGGGACATTTGTTCCCTTAATATGTCAGCCTCTATGACCTCAAATCTAAAACTCAGGTTCATGAGACTGTTTTGATAATTTCAGGGAGGATGCTTACAGTGGGAAAGGTTTGTCTTTATGAAATTGTACAAGTATAGTGTACAAATTTAGGGTATCCATATTTGGTTCAGTGTCCTCAAATAAGTTCAGTGTCAGTATTTTAAAATTTTTAGAATAAATTTAAAATCAATTTTTCTTTACATATATTTTTTTCATTGAGCAAAAGTTTTCATATAATCTCCCAGTAGAGTGCCTGTTTGAAAAAAAATACAGTAGACATCTTAAAATTTTGCCTTAGGAGTTGCATGAAGATTACTAAGATTAAGGGGAGGACTATTCCCTATTCAGTTTTAAAAATAGTGATCTTTGGTAGCTAAGGAATTAAATATCCGTTGATTAGTATATCTTTTATTCCTTTTCCCAGTGTCATACCTATTTCCATAAATACTGACTCTGTCCATGATTATTTCTGGTGCTTTTGCCCATGTATCTAAATCACTTCCTCTTTTCATATAAAGCATAATTTACATGTAAGGCTATTTAAGAAAGTTTTAACTAAATGCCCCAGACCACACTGATCTCCATTTTGTCTTCTCTCAAGCATGTCTTATATATGCAACACAATCTAGAATGCCTTATGTATAATCTACCTTTTTATATTTGAAAGCACAATTTCCTTATTAAATTATAGGCATTTTGAAGTTAACTGTGACTTGTACTGCTTATGACAGCTGTACTGTGCTATGAGGAGAAAACAGTGTTGATTCCAGCTCTTCCTCCATCCCAGTGACCTGGAAGGGGTGGAGTTGTTTGCAGAATCCTATCAGTGAACCTTAGTGACCCCTTCTGCAAGTTGAGTCTATTAATTTTGAAGAAGAGTCTACAAAGAAAAGTTTTCAAACCTCATCATTCAAAAATTGGGGATTGATATCCAAAATATGTAAGGAACTCATACAACTCAATGGTAAAAGTAAATCTGATTTAAAAGTGGGCAGAGGAACTAAACTTCTTGAAGGGTATTCTTCAAGAAGACATTCAAATAATCAACAGCACATGAAAGGGTATTTAGTAGCAATAATCATTAGGAAAATGCAAATCAAAACCACAAGCTATTACCCTATACCTCTCAGACTGCTTGTCATCAAGAAGGCAAGAAATAACAAGTATTGGCAAAGATGTGAAGAAAAAAGAACTCTTATGCACTATTGGTGGGAATGTAAATTGGTTCAGCCATTACAAATAAGATTAATTTTCCTCAAAAAATTAAAAATAAAACCGTCATATGATCCCTAAGTTCCACATCCGGGTGTATAATCAAAAGGAAATGAAAGCAACTTATAAAAGGGATATCTGCACTGTAATATTTATTGCAACATTATCCACAATAGACATCTAGTGTCCATCATAGGATGGGTGCATAAAGAAGACGAGGTGGTTAGTGTGGTATATATGTATGTATACACACACACACACACACACATACACACACATACACACACACAATTGAATATTATTCAGCCATGAGGAAGAATGATACCCTGCCATTTGTGAAAACATGAATGGACCTGGAGGACGTTATGCTAAGTGATTGAGAAAGACAAGTACTGTATGGTATAATTTACGTGTGGATCTAAAAAAGCAAAACTTATAAAAACAGAGTAAAATGGTATTAATAGGGGATAAGGAGTAAGAGAATAGGAGTAATGCTGTTTAAGGGTACAAACTTGCAACTAGTAGATAAATAAGTCCTGGAATCTAATGAGCAGTATAGCTAATGTAGACAAAAATATTTACTATAACCATCAAAAGTACTGAGACTAGATCTTAATTATTCTCACCACAGAGAAGAAATGACAATTATGTGACAAGATAGACTCCTAAATGTTACAATGGCAATCATACTACCATATACAAATGTATCAAATCAGCATGTTATATATGTTAAACAATGGTTTTATGATAAGTACCATATGTATATTTAATTTAAAAATAGGTATCCTTTCATTTGAATCTACTCATCTACTATTTTTCCTACTCTAAAAAGCTGTGTAAGACTTTCCAAAGTATATCACAGTGGATTAAAAGCTAATAAATAATAGTAAGCTTGCTTTTATACTTCAGTTATTACACAAACTTAGAAGAGAAAACCCTTTAAATCTTCATGCAATTTTTGAGGGCAAATTTTGTTTTCTTCTTAAAAAGCTATCATTTAGTGATCCACTTGGGCTGTTAACTGTTAGGTTTAATAATATAAATTCTTTGGTCAAAATAGTTTTATTTTTCCATAATCAAAATATCAAAATAAAAACACCAAATGAAAATTTTGGTTATTTGTTTTAAAGTACTAAAAATAAGCCACTTAATTATGCAGCTAAGTTAGAAAATGTTCAATGTAAGTGCCTGAATTATTTAATAGAGTTCCTTTTTGTCTTTACCTGTATATTTTGAAGTTCTACCTTAATCTGAAAAGGCTATTGTGAATAACAGTTTGAATCTCATCCTAATTTTCCATAGTCTTCAGTTTTGAAAAGAGCTAGAAAGATAATAGCATAGTTGAAACCTAATAACAACCAAAAGATGCTTAATAATTGCAGATAAATATATATTAATGGATGTTAATACTAAAAGTAAAAATAAATTAGAATATTCCCCTTACCTAAATTTCACTGAGAATGTTTTGTAGCACCTCATGTTTCCTTCCTGGTCTTAGGTCTCACAGAATTTCAGAATATAAACTTTGGTCTCTAAAACATTTGGGATTAAAAGAATGAAAATCTGGGAGACTGCAAATAGGTCAGAGTCAATAATTATGTTCCTTATGATGCAAAGTTAAAAATTTCCATCAAATCCTAAGGGATTTCCTTGCACAGACATGAGAGTATTTCTGTGGGGAGATTCAGTCCCCTACACATAAAAAGATGCCTTGTAAGACTATAAGGTTGAAGCACATAAAAGCATGCCTTGTAAAGACTAAGGTTGTTTGATGATCACCTTACTAATTATTATATATATTCTTATTAAATGCTGTTTATTATCTGCATAAATTTTAAATGAGCAGAAAACAGTCTCATATTAATTTTACCTTTTACTGAAACAACTAATATGCCTTATGAAAGATTATTAGAATTTTGAAAGGAGACTAAAAGATGTGATAGGTTCAGCTGGGGTCATTAACTTCACTCTGTGATTTACATTTGTCCCAATATCTTTTAAAAACCTCATTGGAAACTGTAATATCATTATTTATTCCTACATATGAATTACTGAAATGTTTCTCCTGCCTTTGCAATTTCCCTCAGCTGCCATTATCTTTTTTACCTTATTTTTTCCCCTTCCACTCTGTTGTTCAGTCACTGAATTGTGTCCGACTCTTTGTGACCCCATGGACTGCAGCATACCAGTCTTCCCTGTCCTTAACTATTTCCCAGAGTTTGCTCAAACTCATGTCCATTGAGTCGATGATGCCATCCAGCCATCTCATCCTCTCTCATCCCCTTCTCCTCCTGCCTTCAGTTTTTCCTGACATCAAGGTCTTTTCCAATGAATCGGTTCTTCACATCCGGTGGCCAAAGTATTGGAGCTTCAGCTTCAGCAGCAGTCCTGCCAATGAGTATTCAGGGTTGATTCCCTTTAGGATGGACTTGTGTGATCTCCTTGCAGTCCAAGGGACTCTCAAGAACCTTCATTCCGTTAATCACCTTGATATGCTACGTATTTATTTGTTATTGTATCACAAGGAGTCAGTCGGTCACTCCTTTCACCCAATCACCATTAGCATATAGACTTAAGAGGAAAGGGATTTCTCTGTTATGTTCACCCCTGTATATTTCTAACACCTTAAACAATTTTGTAGTGCTCATTTTGTAGCATTTTGTAGGGACATTTTGTAGTGCTCAACAAATATTTGTCCAATGAATGAAAAAATTATACTCTCCTACTCAAGAGTTTGCATGGTCTTTCATTGGCTTTTCACACAAGTCCATTTTTTTAATTTTGGTCTTTTCAGATGCCGCATAGTCTGTCTGAATTTTGCCTCTCACCTTTCTTTATTCCTCTCACCTCAGGGCACTTGGCCACGTGCATCCCTTCACTGTTCTTCTGTGCACCTGTTTAATTAATGTGCTTACGTTTCCCTCATCTGAAACACCGTCCTCGTCTCTTTACTCCAAGAACTACTCCATCCTCACCTCAAATCAGATCTCCTCCTAAAGGACTTTCCTAGTTCCTTCAATTTGTTTTTTTCATTTCCTAATATACAAGATTGTTGCTGTTCAGTCACTCAGTCATTTCCACTCTTTGCCACCCCATGGAGTTTAGCACGCCAGGCTTCCCTGTCCTTTGCCATCTCTCCCAGAGCTTGCTCAAACTGATGTCCATTGAGTTGGTGATGCCATCCAACCATCTCATCCTCTGTCATCTGCTTCTCTTCCTGCCTTCAACCTTTCCCAGCATCAGAGTCTTTTCTAATGAGTTGGCTCTTCACATCAGGTGACCAAAGTATACATGGTACTTGTTTTTATATTGCGTTTGAATCAAGTATGACTTGTATGTGTCTTGATTTTAAGTCTTGATTATATATGCTTAAGTCAGCAAGTCACTGACACTGTCATATGTATTTGGAACCCGTGTTCACAAATGGAGCTAGATCCTCAGTACGTGCTTTTTTTATTTTTCAAATTTCAGTTCAGTTTAACCTTAATCAAGTGCTTGCAATAGACATGGTGTTGGAAAAGACGGTGGGTAAGGTGCACATAGAATGTGAGCATGCAGGGATAAGACTTTCTCAAGTTTTACAAATGCTTCT